GGAAATCTCTGATTTACCAATTATTTTACGGGTAAAATATATAAGACTAACATTTAACATTAAAAAATCTCAAAATAGGTTCAAGCCTACAATATTTGGAAAAAATTTCCAAACATCCAAGATCTTAATAATTTAAAAAGATTTTCTCAAGCCCATTTCAATCCCTAATAATTTTTGAAAACCAAGCCAATATTAATTTTGAGAAATATTTTTTAAGCCCAGTCCAGTCCATAATAATTTTGAAAAAATTTTCCCAAGCCTAGAGATATTAAATTTATTGAATTAACTCAGTTATGAATTTCTATATAAAATAATAATTTGTAATATTTAGTAAATAATGTATTACTTTGACAATTGGTTTTAATATGGCCTCCTACAGTTGCACTAATTTTGAAAAAAATCATGTGAATTGGTAATAAGGGAAACTGAGAAAGCCTGAACAAAGCACTTATTAGAGAATCATGACAAAATAAGGTCTGCCCTAATATGTGAAGAGAAATTCAGTTTAATTTAACACAATTTAATAGACTTATTCAAATATTTAAAATTTTCAAAACAGGGAAATGTGATTGAATAAGGCAAATTATATGAAGTAGTTGCTTGAAATTTTGTGATATTTAGTGATACTTAGTGAAAGTAAGTGTTAAAGAGTAACCCAGTTTACATTGGTCATAATGTTTTTGAACCACATAAGATCAACCTGCATTCAAATTTCCTAATTTTTAATTAACACTTTCTTGATTAAATTTACACAACGCTTTAACCTAATTAAAGATTATTATTCTTAATTTATAAAGTAGATAAAACATTTAGTATAATTAACTTAATTTAATCTTCTTATTTAAATATTTAAACTTCAGAAAACAAACAGATATAAGTGAATAAGGCAATTATAAAGATTAGTTGCCTGAAAGATTTTGTGATATTATAATGAAGAGTATGGAGTGAAAAGAGTAAGTGATATGTAAGTGTTAAAGAGTATATATCTTTTCTTTTTTTTAAAAAGAATTTAGCTTAATTTAATAATCTTACTTCTTCTAATATTTAACTTATGAAATCAATGAAAAGGAAACTTTGGTTAAGTTATTATCATTATTTTAAAAGATATTCCCATTTTAAGATTTAAAATATACTTGTATGATCCATAGCCTTCAGCTTGTTTCACATGAAAATCCTAAAGTGCCCTTATTTAGAGAATTTTTTTAAATAACTGGCACTCCGATTTCAGGAATTCAAGGAAAATGATTAACTTGTTGAACCATCGTCCAAGCAGTATTATTTTTAAATATCTATCCATTTTTGCAAAATCAAATGTGATAAAATGTTATTAACAAATATGGCTCCTGTTCTAAATCACTAAAAGTAATAATCGCTAAAAATAATAAAAAATATAATCTATTTAAAATAAGACTATTGATAGGATCATCTGTTTGTATAAAATAAATAAATAAAATCAACAATTAAAAAAAATAAAAATAAATGCATACCGATGACATGACGTAGCGATGACATGAACTCACGATGACATAGTGAATACATCGGAAAATTATAATATAGATTAGTGAGATGATAAAAACTGTATGTGAGGCAGAAGATATCGATACCAACATTAATTTTGATAAAGTTATAACCAAAAGATGAGTTAGAGATAAAAAAGAAACATTAATATAAAAATAATAAAAAATCATAAAGATCAAAAAAGAAATGTGTTATCCAAAGTGGGATCAAAAATATAATAACTTTCATTTATTTATGTCTGATTTTGATTCAGACTCTTATCAACATTGGAAAGACGTTAATAGGTTTAACAGGAAATTTTTTTGTGAAATAAAAATAAAAATATAATGGACATATTTCGTACTAAAATATATAAAAATTTAAAAATTATAACTAAAAATTTTAATGTAATTTCTTTACAATTCTTATATGAAGACTGTATAGAGTCTTATAGATTAATGTATAAATCACATATAATATAGAGTAAAACTAAACTAGTAACAAAAAAAATTGGCGATTCAATTAATAAATGATAAAATATTTGTGAAGAATAAATGTATTAAAAGGAAAATAGAAAATAATATCAAAACTAATATTTAAATTTCAAAATCCACATATAGAGGCAATAAAGAGATTATTGCCTAAATATTTAAGGCCAAAGAAATTATTTTTACAAAATATAATTTGAAGAAAAATTACTATATCAAGACGCTTTTAAATTAAAAAAACAAAGGTGTTAAATTTAAACTATAAAATAAAGAGAGGGAAGTGTGCATAATATTCTACCTGCATATTTTAAAACTCGTAGAAATCATTATTAATATATATATATATGAAGAATTTTGAGACATTTCGTTTAAATGATTTTGAGATCTGGTCGTAGTCATAATAATTTATTATCAAAATTTACTGTTTAACAAAATAACTAAAATAATTATTATCAAAATTTTACAAAACTAAAAAAGTTTATATTTATAAAAATTTAAAATTATTTTAAACATAAAAAGTGTGTATTGTATTAATAAAGATTTTCAAAATTATTTTACCAGAAAAAATAAAGTATATCTAAACTATAAAAAATTCGTCCCTTTTATAAGGAAAATAAAAGGCACAATTATAAATTAAAATTAAATTGGCGCAAAGTGAAAAAATGAACGTTTTTGTGGAAACGAGTTGTGTTAGATTTATCGTACATAATTGGAGATAAAACCTACCCCCCTATACTTCCCGAAACTCAAAATATACCTTGGGATGCAGGGTGGTCTCCCGGACTCAACGGTCTAACTCATATTTTTGGATCACTTTACTGAGGACTCCTAAAGTAAGAAATCCAGTAAAGTGAGAGAAAACACAAAAGCCATATGTTTTACTTTCACTGTGTTTAACTTAAAACAAGAGAGGGACCAAAAAGAGAAACCCTTTTTTAACTTTCATTTTATTTATAACAAAGGAGGGGTATTAAAAAACTTTATTTAACTTTAACATAAACAAAGAGGGGGATTAAAAAATTTTTTTTCATCTTAAACATAATAAAAGAGGGGGATAAAAAAACTTTTTTTTCCATTTTTAACAATATATAAATAAAAATCGATATACATACATAAAAATTATATAAAACGCAAAATAGAAAAATAAATTTAAACGCCAAACTAAAACGGAAAATTTAAAAATATATTTAAACTCCAAACTAAAATGCAAAATGTAAAAAAAAATATAACGCTAAACTAAAAAGCGAATCACATATCAATTATTCTTATTTGAATTTTATTCTATTACTCCAATTTTATCATTCTTATTCCATTCAATAATTCCTATTCAATTCAATATTCTACTAATACATTCTATATTCCAATTCCATTATTCTTATTTAACATTCAACAAATTATTCCATACTAAACGACGAATTAATGATAAAGATTTGAACAGAACGGGATCGAGGATAAAAGAGACAAGAGACAAGAGAACGTACAAAAACAACAAACGATTAGAAGCAAGTTCCACGATGACTGCGAAGAACACAGAAAGATCGAAAAAAGAACAGATGGGGGGAATGTTAATATATTTGATTTATTTTAAATTATATTAACTTAAATTTTACCTTACGGACTTGTATTATTTCTTTTACTTAACATAATATTAATCTAATAGTTACATTGATTGTTATTTACTTTTGAAAAGTATATATATATATAATATATATAGAATTTATTATGTTAATAGTCAGTTAGTTATATTTATAATAAATAAATTTAAAATAAAGAAATTTTGTTTCGATATCTTTTTGCTTATCCATACCACTCTCACTATATTAGCTTAGTATTTTAAAAAATCGATGTTTGAAAATGTTTGGCATAAAATTGAGTGCAATTATTAATAATATTTATTTTCAAAAACAATGACGGCCATTTTCTTTGAAAATTGATGTTTGAAAATAACTTGGATTAAATTGACATCGATTACTGATATTAAGAACCCGAGTTAAACTCTCGTAGTTTTTTCAATACAAGTTCATTAACACTGAAATTGAAATCTCAATATTTAAAATAAAATTTTAAAATTATGGGGAAAAAAACATATTAGTGCAAATGAGCATTGTGTTATAAAGGTTACACACTGTCAATGTTAAATAACAAAATTAGATAATAAAATTAGATAATAAATAACGAGTATGGTTTTTTTTAAAAAGATTCAGGTTATTCTAAATCATGATGCTTAAAGAAAATGTGCTGAAAGATTTAATATATCTAAAGGAACTGTTCACAAATTCATAAATCCAACGCCATGCAAAATAAAACATATTGTACCAAATTGCAAAGATAACATCTAAATTTATTTCATAAATTAATTAAATATTTTTTCTTATTTTATGCAAATATGTATACATACATGTTTTAATCACGATTTTGATGAATTAATTATAATAAAATAATTATTTGAAAATGATTGAATATAATCTTACTTTTTGCTAAACTAGGAATATAACAGATGGTGATGTTTTTTTAAAAAAGTAAAAAGTCTTGATAAATTGGGAAACTAATTAAATTGGGCATAAACCTGCTCCCAACGGCGCCCAAATTAGACAGGTATGACTTATATATTATTTGCAATATATTTTAATTTGTATATAACTTTCTAGTCTAAATAGCCATTTGATATAATATAAATATGATATATTTTTGAGATGCTTCGATATAAAAAAAACATTAAAATAATAAATAAAAATTTTAAAAAAAAATTTAAAAAAAAAATTTGCCCAAATTTTTGACAAAACAAAAATTAGCCTCTTAGCGTAGCACTTACTATTTTATTAATAGCATGCCCCTACCACAATGATTCAAATAAATTGGTCATTTAATGATTTAACGAAATTTTATGTAAGCGAAAAGTACCGATATATCAAATAATTGATACATGTCACATATAACCTATTATGCCACCGATTAGTTATAATATTAGTCAGAATTCAAATTTTATATATGGTATGGTATGGTATGATATGATATGAAAAGGATGGTTGTACAAAATATAATTTGGTTTTGATTTAATGAGTTGAATTCATATTATATATATTTAGGTATTCTATATATGATAATCGAATTATAACTATGGATAATTCTTGTGAAGATATAAACAATTCTATAAGTGACAAAGTGACATATCAAAAGGTATGTAAATTAGAATTGAATGAAACTACACCAATATTGGGAATGTCAATTAGAGGAGGCAAAGAAATGAATATTGGAATATATATTTCCAAGTTTAGAATATTGTATAAAGTGTTGTTTGTGATTTTGCAGTGATATTTAAATGTTTTATTATGTATAATGGATTAAAAATTTGGATATATTAAGTATAGATCAAGGTAGTATAAGTGAAATTAATGGGATTAAAGTTGGTGATCAAATTATTACTGTCAATGGATATAATTTTCAAGGAATATATCATAGTAAGGCTGTTAAAATTTTGCATAATCATCAGATATTTATAATCATTCTAAAAGTAAATATAATTTCACAATATGATGTTTTATCTATAATATAGGAAAGAGGTATTATACCTTTATACAGGGAAGTTTGGGAAAAAATTTATATACGTAATCATCATGGTTAGATTTAATTTTAAAACATCATTAAATATTCATTATATAGATGATAAATCCTTTATCAGGAATTTAAGTACAACTAGGTATGATTTGAATACATACCAATCAATTAAAAATGCAAATCACAATTTTAAATGCAACTCTGATGGTAATAATTTACACAAGGAGCCCCCATCTGTATCAAAACATGCCCTTGTTACTGAATGTAATACAATATTGATTGCTAGATAAAATAATTGTTGATGAAGAAATGATAAAAATAAATATCTAAACTTACTAAATGTAGATATTAGTTTTGATATATGGTCATTCCATGCCAAACCATTTATGACTTGGCTGACCCTTTCAATTTTAATGAAAATTTGTATATAAACTAAGATTCTTGTAATCTATTATACTTGGAAAAAATTTTAGCCGCCTAGTTTTTATATTTTTGAAGATGCAGTCAAAGTGTAAAAAAAATCCCTTTTCTGTGAGTGTCAATATTCATTAATTTAATGATTGTAAAAATTACGTGATTATATATAAAAAATCTGGTATTAAAATAAAGAATATATTTTTTATTTTTAGAAAATATAAGTAAAAAAATAAAAAATTTATAGACCTCTTATTCCCAGAATAAAATTTAAATTCTGATAATGAAAATTGGGTAACTTCTATTTTTATGAAACTTTAGATAAACATTAATATTACCATTCTATATTAGTAAAAAAAATTGGAGTGAAGCCGATATGATAGACAAAATTGTTAAACCTGCAAAAAATGAAAACTATATTTTAATATATAGATAGTGTTTAATTTTAATAACTTCTCTACGTTGTTCCTATTCAACACTAAATGCTGTAATCCATTCAATATTCATAACCATCAATGGCTAAAAAATGAAAAGATTTGCAATAGCTGCTAATTAAAGTTCATAAAAACTAAAACTCTTGCCATATTTATTTCTATCAAGTCAACAGCAACCTATTAAATTAAGTTTAGGGGACAGTGAATTTTTAATTTATTCAGGATGCAACACAAAGTTATTACTAGACTAATGAAAGACAAGAATTCATCCGTTTTTATATAATAAAGATATCATATTATCGTTTGTTATGATATGTTGTATTGCACTTTTTTCAAACTTTCTTTGTAAATTTCATTAAAAATAAATTCTACACAATACCCCAAATTTTTTTAAATTTTTCTGAGTGGTTGGCAGCTCAGTACAAAAATCTAAAAAACTTTTCAAATATATATCATCATGTGAAAGATTTTGGCATTCCATCAAAATGACACTTTTCAGCCACTGCACATGGAAAAAGTGTGTGTTGGTGTTGGAGGCATAATTAAAAAGGCTAGCACAAGAGCCAATTTATATAGGATGTATGCTAATTAAATAACATCTCCAATGTAGCTGTACAAATATAAAAACAAAAATAGCTTTGAGTAATAATTCATGATCCTGAGGAATTATCCTTAAACAACGATTTTTGAAGTAAAAACTAATTCCAGGAACACATAAGATACATGCAGTGATTCCTCATTGGACTATTTTATGTTAAAAATGTATTCGAATATGACAGAAACTATATTAGAAAATTTGGGGTACAGAGACAAAAGTATTACATTTGAAAATATATCAAACTATGTGACATGCATATATGAATCAAATTGGTGTTGGCTTTAATGTCCTTACATTTCCAGGAATAGATGATACTGTTTACCTACCTAGTTCACATATTAACCACAGTTTCACCATCAGCGCTGACATGAGATATTTAAAAACACCTTCTTTACAAGAAAGTTTGCATATGACCAAAGTAATTATTATTTGATTATAGATATATCTGTATTCTAATTCATATTTAATTTTTTAGGAAGACGTATGGCAATGTAACAAATGTTAGAAACAAGGAATGAGTAACTAATAATTATATAGAAACAAATGTTAATAATATGATATTATATAAAAATATAATTATAAATAAATAAATTCATAATAAGTAGTTCTCCTGTTTAATAGTAATGTCGTAGAGAAGTTATTATTAGAAATAATTGCAAAAATTTATTAATAAGAATATGGCTTATAGAAATTAAACACCATCTATAGTATAAAAATATATTTTACAGTTTTTATTGGTTTTTATCGATTTTGCTTATGAAGTCATATCAACTCCACTCTATTTTTTTTATACTCTTATAGAATGGTAATAGTAAGGTTTATCTAAAGTTTCATAAAAATCGATGTTAACCAATTTTCGTTATGGGGATTTTTAAATTTCTGGGAATATGAAGTTTGGAAATTTATTTTACTTATATTTTCTAAAAATAAAAAATATTCTTTATTTTAATACCAGATTTATTATATATAATCGTTTAATTTTAAATCAATCATTAAATTTATGTATACCGACACATGCAGAAAGGGCAATTTTTATGTTTTGACCTCAAATATCTTCAAAAATATAAAAGTTAGGTGGCAAAAATTTTTTGCAAGTATAGATTACAAGAATCTTAGTTTATATAAGGATTTTCATCAAAATTGAAAGGGTTCAGCCAAGAATTATGTTTTTTTGAATACAAGTTTCATTACAAATCAGAATAAAAAAAAAGCTATTTCGAAAATATAATCAAATAAAATTTTGCCGAATAATTAAGTATGTTATCAAGACCATTGCAAACCAAATTTTATTGCTCTATCTCTATTAATTCCAGAAATATGAGCATTTAAATTGTAAAAATTATGTATTTCTCAATTTTTGCGATACACATATAAATTAATTTTTTTATATGACATCCAAACTAACAAGATGAATTTGTTTAAATTTGAATTAAATATATACGAACCATTATTATGAGTTCTAAGCTATTTTACCAAAATTCAGTCTTAGATATCTTAAAACTTTTATACTGTGATTTAAAACCTTTAAATATTTTGAATAAAACCCCAATATTTGAACCTGTCTTAAGAGTTAATTGAAACTATTAATACCTGTTAAGCTATTATTCAAGATTTAGTAATGGATGTCATAAATTTTATACTGTGAGAAGTATAAGACTATCAATAATTTTATAAAAACTTTTAAAAACAAATTTCCAAGCTCTATAATTTATTCAAATCTAAACATTTCTTGATTATTTTTAACTTTAAGTCAATTTTATACTATAAATTTTCCCATAAATCTCGTCAACCCAATCTAATCTGCAAATTTAAAATAATCCTTTTCCTATCATTTTAAAATACCATAAATACTCATAAGATAATGTTAACAGATGCATCTTCTTAACATGTGGCAAAATTGTAAAAGTACTTTCTTTGCACCATCACACAAGAAAGCTGACACAAGTTCTAAAATTACAAACATTCAATCACTGTGCTCCCAAAACATCATGGTCTAAATCATTTCTAAAATTAGAAACTCCCCAAACCATATCCAGAATACCTGGAAGAGCTAGGATTATTATTTGTGAATTTCTGTCACACCCATTTTAGTATCTAAACAATGACCTACTCTTTAGATAACTGGAGAAATATCCTTTTAACCTTTTATATTTTGCAATCTCCAATTACTAAAGTAGACGATCTATCCTTAGTAATGGGAAAATTACTACTTAAAATCCTATCAAACCTAAAACTAAACATCACCTTCCCCTAACAGATACAGACAAAGCAAAACTGATATCAAAAAAAATTTAAGTTTTAATATTTATGTAGCAATCATCTAATGATACTTGCACCCAAAAGCGATGTATCAGTGAACCTAGCAAACATTCTTCTGGCTTCCCAATAACCTTCACACCTTTTAAAGATAGCCCCATTGATTTGACTGAGAGAGAAGTGCTAGTCTCAATGATAAATAATGATTCTGCAAGTGGCCTCGATGTGTACATATACCTCCACTTTCTTCTGCAAACTCACTTCTCGCTTATTAATCATTTTTTCAAAAATAATATTATGAAAGGCATCACTCCTACAAAGGGCATTCATAATTTGGGGTGCTAGATTAAAAAAAGAGGGTGACGGTCTCTACCTAAGTGATATAGGATCCATTTTTACATCTTATATCCTTAATAATTTGTAGCGGATTAAGAGATCACTCAGCTCTACACCTACCAACTTGGCTTCAGAATTAAAAGTGGGAGTGGAGCTGGTTCCCATGCTACTTGATTTGTGATTGAGAAAAATAAATTAAATATTCTTAAGTTTGATTTCAACAATGCTATCATTTGCTCTCCGTTTCATTTATCTCTTTTTTCCAGCTCCACTACTCCATAAAATACCAAGATACAATGCTATCTTCCCAGTAAGAGATTCAATAAAGAAACCGATTTTTGTTTTAAACTTCAAACAATATTCAATCAAATAATAGGGCAGTGCTCTCTAAAATTAAATGCTTGATATTTAAATGACAGAATTTTTGCAGGAGACCCGCAAGAGTTGCTCAAAACGAATCATAAACAACTTTCTCCCATTTATAGGGCTTTCATTAAACAGATAAATGTGAGTTCTATTCATCAGGCATCTATAGCCTCGACATGCCATTCAAATCGCACAAGTCAGCTATGACGCATCTTGACTCATTGTTAATTTTTTAAACATCAGCACCAAACTGAGTCACTTGAAACACTCCCCTTATTATTGTCTGCTCACCAGGCTTTCTTTTTTATCACCCCGAAAAAGTCTTCTCTCGGTTTAGACCACCTTATCCAGTAAATTTGGAGGTATCAGGGTTCATCCCCTATCTCTTTCTAGCTTTATCCCAGTTTTTATGCAATATGATTATCCATAATACACAAGGCCTTAGATTGAGACTTAAATTTACACACCAATCTTCCTCTCCCTTATGCTTCCTTACAAAAAAACAAGGACTTGCCATTAATAGCACATTCCATTGAATCTACTCTACCAAACGAACAATCTTTGACAATGAACAGCTTGGAATTCGGAAAAAACAAAAACGGTTATGGATGGCTTAAGGCCATGCCAGTTTAAAGCTTAGGCCTATGTCTATCCTCAGAAGAACTATGGTTAATTATAGGATTCCAAGCTAATTCTCTCATAGTTACTCCTTTTAATAAATATTTTTTTATTTTAATTATTATGATGTAAAACATTTTTTTAAATTTGTATTAAAACATAATTAGTATAAATATAAGTTTAAGAAATGTATCGATTTTCAATACCGATACTTTAAAATATATCGTGACTACGATACATCAAATAAAAGAATTGCCGCATTCGATACAAAGGAACCTATCGAGTATTGCGATACTTTATCAACTTTGGTATTAAATGTTAACTATAATAATTATTTCATTTTTATTCCTATCGATAGATATTAAAAACTCATCAATCTGTACAAATGACTCAATTTCATTAAATGATGTTTACGATTTCAATAATAATGGCAATTTACAATATAATCTATGTGATGAAAATATGATGCTTGGCAGAAAAATATCTGCACAGATTCATAAATCAAATTATAATATGAGATTTATTAACCCGAAAAAATGCAAAAACACTAATATGACATTAAATAGATCCCTAGGTATTGAATCCAATATGAATTTTATAAGCTTATCAACAATCGACACTATTAAAGATAATGCAAAACAGAGTGACCTACTAATTGATATTCCTAATCACAAGTATATGGGATAAATAGGGTTGGTAGAAATCGGTTAAAAAATAAAATGATAAAAGTTTGAAAAGGGGGTAGGAAAATTTATTTTGAAAACATCATTAAAAATATTTTTTTATACAAAATATAAATGAAAATTTTTCCGTATATTTTTTTCAGATGAGTCCTAGTTAAGTTTTTAGCTTTAGCTTTTTTAATATATTATTGAACATTTATTATCAATCATTCTTAATTCATAAGTTTAAATCCTCTCACATTTCGCTGTATATTGTTATATAAAACATCGTAGTTTAATTTTTTTAATTAAGAATATGCATTTATTTTGAATCTTTGCCAGATTATTTTTTATTTATTTAGCCCATTTACTTTTTATGAGTTTTCCTTCGAAATTCTTGGAAATACGAAATATTGGATCAATACATTTCAGTTTATTTATGATAAAATTAGTAAAAATTAACAAATAATAGAGACCACATATTAACATATTAAATTAAGGTAAACAAAAAAAGGTTTCTTATCTAAATCATTACAAAATTTTCCAATGGTAAAGCTTCCGATTCTCCCTTAGAATAATTTTTTTTAGCCCCCTTCCCCCAACAAGCGATTTTTTCCTAATTATTTATTTATTACAAATATGGATGAATAAAAGCAATTTGATTTATTTTCTATTATTAAGCTGGGTAATTAAATAAATATATTTTATAAAGTTCAAATAATAAATAAAGTATGATTAGAAATTTAGTATTCTTATAATTATTGAAAAAAGTCAATTGTATGTGTGCTAAAAGTAGTAGAATTCACAATACGAAAATTAGTTATTTACTCCTCTTGATACTTGATAGGTTCCGTATTATCTTTTTTGTTAATGATCAGAATTTTAATTTATCTATTATCAAGAACCAAAAAATTTTAATATCTCTTAATATAGTTTCTAGTTTTTATAAAAAAATAAGTGATAATTGTTTCATTTGTTCATTTAAGGATAATAGTCCTGATTTTTAGAATGAAAATTTGAAGACAATGTAAAATTAAGGAATATTTAAATCCATGCAATTTTTAACAAAAAGAAAAATATAATAGCATTATTTTATTTTTTTATAACCCATAATTTTTTAAATACTCTCTTTCACTGTACAAGTTATCTTACAAGTTTTCCAAAAAAGGAAATTCCAATCAAAAAGGGAAAAGTTTAAATCATAAAAGGAAAAGGTCCGATCAAAAAATGAAAAGGGCCAATCATGAAAGGAAGTTCAATCAAAAAAGGTTTAGGAAAAAGTCTACTTAAAAAAGGAAAATTCCCAAAAGAAAAGGAAAAGTGTCAATCAAATAAGGAAAATCGTTATTTTTTTAAATATTTTTTAAAAAAATTATAAATTCTTTTTCTTGTCGATTTTTATTATTCCTTCTTATTTTATTTCTAACTTTTATTACTCTTACTATCTTTTCTCAATTTATTTTTTTTCTCATTTTTGATAATTCTTTTTAAAAATAATTTATAAATTTTCTTTGTTATTTTTCTTCACTTCTCTGCACCATTTTTTAACAATTCTTTCTTTTTTTTCCATCATACAATAACAATAATTTGACTTTATGATTTTCTTCTTATATTGTTATCTTTTACATACATTTCTAACTTTTTCAATCTCTTTAAGTCATTTTTAATCTTTATTTTCTGATCTTTTCTTAATTTTTTTTCTTCTCATTTTTGATAATTCTTTTTAATTTTCACTTATAATTTTTATTTTTCAATGGCAGACAATTTTTTATTATAATTTTTTACATACTAAATTTTTTAATTACAATTACTGAATAATTAAATTAATCGTTTGGTTATAATATACCTTTTTAAAATTAAATAAGTTTGAACTATAATATCAAACGATATGTAAATTAATAAAATATAATCATTTTTAAATTCTTATTTTTAAAAGAAAAATATAGTAAAGAAATCGCAAAAAGTTAGAAATAAAATAAGAAGGAATAATAAAAATTTAAGAAAAATCGACAAGAAAAAGAATTTATAATTTTTTAAAAAAAACGATTTTCCTTTTTTGAATGGAAAATTTCCTTATCTGATTGGCACTTTTCATTTTTTATTGGACCTTTTCCTTTTTTATTTGACATTTTTCTTTTTTGAATGAACCTTTTCTTTTTTTGATCTGACATTTTCTTAAACATTTGGGACTTTTTCTTTTTTGATTGACATTTTTCCTTTTTTGATTGTCATTTTTCCTTTTTTGATTGGGCCTTTTCCTTTTTTGATTGGGCCTTTTCCTTTTTTGATTGGGCCTTTTCCTTTTTTGGTTGAACTTCTTTTTGATTGAAACTTTTCCTTTTTTGATTGGGAATTTTCCTTTTTAGAATGGGAAACCCTGTATTTAAGCATTACGTACAAACATAAGTATTTTTTGATGCATGTTAATAATAGTGTGATTCCTTGCAAGCAACTTGATAAAAGATTAAGTATTTTTTATATTTTAATATATTAAAAATAAATATATTTTCATAACAGTATTTATTTATTAGCCGAATAATAAATATTTGTAGAAAATAAAAGTTGCGAAAAAGCTTATGACGAAACCTATTTTTAAAAAAATTTTCTAACTTATAAAATATAATTCGCTTATAAAATTATAATCTTGGTGTAAATTTTTAAAATTTAAACTGGGATTTCATTAACCTTATTTAAATCAGCAAATATTTTACTTAACATAATTTCCTTTGATTTTAAGAATAGGTTAACTCAAGTTTTCCTAATTCCAATAAATCGTACATAAATTTTCAATCACTTTCATTTTTTTTAAACGGCAGCAACAAAAGATATCATGTGAAAGGGTTCTTTGTTTCGCATAACCAACAACACGCCTCGTTAAATAATCTATGTTCCTTTTATCAGACAGGATTTCCAAGAGTTAATATCAAGTTTTCTTCTCAATCTAATCATCTTGGTAACACGGGAAATTTAGATACTTATTTGACAGACAGTGCCAATCAGTTGCAACCCAAAAAGTCATTATCCATGAATGACTTATACTACCAGTTAGATTCTTTAGACTTTTGTATCAAGTCTAAAACTAGATTAAACGAGGAAATAAACGAAACAACTCATTATTACAATGACAAATTTAAGCGGATCGCGAATGAGATCTTTAACAGCGGGAAAGCAATTTCTAAAAAAAATTCGGATTTTATTAAAAAAGATGTTTTTGAATTCACGAAATCGAAAGAACCACTATGTTGTAGAGATTCGGTCAACCATCAAACAACTGGCTTCAAAATAAATCAAAATAACAATTCAAATCATGACAACGAAGAAGGTAAAGTTGATAAACTCATTGCTCTTTTTGAATCTGAGCGGAGCCTCCCTTATTTTAAAAAATGCCAGATGCCTGCGCTCAAAAATTTATCTACATCGACAAACTTCAATCAATATTACGACGCGAGTGTTGAAACAAATAATAATAAAACATCTAACGAAATTAACGATACGCTCAATTATAGCGAAGTTAGTTTTGTCAAAGTGGGTCAAAAATTTGACAAAACGAAAATTCTAAGTAAATTCGAACGATCTCTTTCCCTGGCTCGACTTAAAGAGAAATTAAGCCAACTATCAAGGGAGAGGGAAGGTTTTGATTATTCCGGACCAATTTACGAAAATGTAGAAACTATTAGGAGATTTTAACAAAGTTTTTATTGAATTTCTAATAGAAATTTGCATAATGTGACTAATAATCTTTATAGTCGCGTAGCCAGAAATTTCCTACAAAGTGGGGGGAGGTGTGATTTTTATTAAAATATTTTTTGGGACATTAGAAGTTTATTAGAATTAATTCATATTTTAAAAAATGACAATTTCAAAGAACACATATTGGAAAATACAAAATATGAGCCAATATATTAGTATTAATAAATATTAAAGCTATATAAACCAATATGTAGATCACAGTTAAATATAGAATTAAACATATAATGATTTAAAAGGTTAATCAAAATATCGTTCATAAATAAAAATTTAATCTTCTTTGCGATTGCGCCAGTTTTTAAATAATTTGCCCTGTATTGAAACTAGCCCATTCAATCTATTTTTAAGATGTCATACTTTTGAGATGGGTTTTTATTCTGGATAATGAAGAAAAGATCCTCTCATATGTGCTTGTACTAATTGGTATTGTTGCAAAAATATAATAGTAATTTTTTATATTTGGGAAAATATATTTTAAATGTAATAATGTATCAGCTTTAGATGAAATATCTTGTTCAGGCCATTTTTGATATTTCTTTAATACATTCAAAATAGGCTCTTCTAGATTCATAAATGCTGTAACTGCTTTGTCGAGGCTCAATCTTGTCGGGTATTCTTTTTGCAGTTTTTCTTCTAGCGCAAAAAATCTCATAAATAATTCTATTCAGAATATTCTGTCTCTTTAGATGTCTGAACATTTCATTCACTCAAAAATTTTACGAATCATAGTTATTAGTAGAGACAAATTAATATAGAATTTTTTATCCATCTGTTTATGGTTTTAAAAAATGAATGGAAATATATTTGAAACTTTCGTGGGATAAAATATTAATACACAAGGAATAAATATTTAATTTAATTTTAACTTTTTGCTAAAAAGAATACAATATAACATATTTGAAATAGAATACTTTGCAATTCACAATTCATGTAAACCTTTTGTTTTTCTAAAAAAAAATTGTTAAGAGGGGGGAGGGCGACTTTCTCCCTCCATTTCCGCTGGCTACACCTGGGTTTTTAACTTTATGAGGTATGAATATATTTAAGAAATAGATTTATGTGGTTTACTTACTATGCTATCTTTTTATATATCTCTTTTTTTATTTTGGCCATTCCATGACAAATCGATCTAAAAAAGATCATTTTTGTGGACTTATTTCAAATCTTATGAAACTTTGCATGATGATAATATATGTTGTGAGATCCTCTACAATTTTCTAACTTAATTAGTTCAAGGATATATGGCGGGTTAAAGTTAAAAAATAGCGTCCTCTTCCTAATTTAGAAAAATTGATTAAAATAAAGTACTTAAAATTAAAATATAGAAATGATAGAAGCCTATATTTGGTATAGATTGCCCTCTTTTCCTCGGAAAAGGCAAAGGTTGATTCTGATTGAGGCTAAAATTTTCAAAAAATTTATATTTATTAAATATATATACATTTATATTAAAAAAATTAGGTTTGGAAAACTTGTTTTTTTAGTTGTTTAATTTTTTATCGATAGAAAAAGTCATTATAGGTGGCGATATACTAAAAAAATTGAAATTATTAATATTTTTAAATATAATTAAAAAACAACATGTACTTAATTTTAAATAAAATATTAAATATTATTTAGCCATTGATTTCCATTTTGTTGTAGTTTTGTTTTGAAAACATCCGTGAATAAAGCATATAAGTACGCCCTGTTGCTGTTTGGGAATTTGACAGGTACATAATTTATCTTCATTAGGTGGTAGTGGAATAACCACATGTTCTTTTGCATGCCAATTATTGCGCATAAAATTCTATCTTCGTCTCTGGCTGTTCCACCTTAATACTTTTTGAATTAACACCCTTGTCATTTTTTTATTTTTGCTTTTGAGTAATTTATTTCCAATAAAATTTAATGGGAACTTCCTTGAAATCTTGCAATGAATTAAAACTCTCTATGATACTCGTAGAATTAGAAATAATGTAACAATATTTGGCAGTAATTTCCTTAATTTTTGGTATCCTTTTTACAATGCCAATAACAAGAAAACGCACAAGCGATTGAATTTTAAAATAATCTACTTCAGTAGTAATAGATTAATAAATCAAAACCTTAAGAAACAGGACAATATCTCTTTTAAAGAAATATGCAGCCACTACATGAAGTAGGCTTAATTCTAAATCTATTTTAAAAGTAAGTTTTAACAGACGATGATAAGCCAGATATATAAAACAACCTGAAAATTGCTAAATTATTTAAAATTCGATGATATGCATAAGACAATGCCATCATTTTTATCTTTTCTAATTCATCCTGCAGAAATAAAAAACAGCATATTCTAAATGAAACACATAGAGAATTTATAGATTATTCTGATTCTGATGAGCCAACCGTATCTACCGATGAAATATATGAGGATGAACTTAAAAGATTCATCGTTAATAAATATCTATGAAAATATATAGAAGTTTTGGAAGCAGGAAAATTCATTTCCTTGTTTGAGAAAATTTTATTAGCCCCGGCAAGTTCGCAAAGAAATATTATTTTTCCATTTACCAATCCTTTATTAGAGGAAAGACGAACACAATAGAAATAAAAAAGTATGGACATTCTTCTTTTTTTAAAAAAAAATTTTGATTTAATGGTAATTATTTTGTTAACTATCAATATGGAAACAAAGAAATAAAAAACTATAATAGAATAAATTCAAAAAAGCAGAAAAGTAGCAATAAAGTTTTGAAAATTTAGAAAATATTAAAAACCATAAATTTTTCGGGCCAATATATTTTTTCGTGAGAGGACGAGTTCGGTTTAAAATTTTTATCAGCAAACGTGAAAGGTAGTGTTGTTTCACGGCTCGATTTGTGGAGCCGATTTTTAAAAATGGCTAACTCATTATTAGAGCCAAAAAAATATTGCCTAAACCTCGAGATTTCGCGAAAAGATGTCCAAACCTTTATGGCAATGACCAAAATCTTCAGGCTTACGTGATAATTTTTTTGAATAGAATATTGAGTGAGTCGTTTTTAAAAATCGAGCCGTTTAATAACACTAGTGAAAGAGCGTGAACTTTTTTTACACCGAGAGCGAGCGGGTGTTCATATTTTACATATTAAATAAATGCAGTTCACACTGATAAATTATATAAACAATTCAATCAATCATTAGACTCGACATTACTTTATATCTTATATATTTTTGAGGGCCAATTTTCCTTGGGTATGGGGTTTGTTTTTCCGATTGCGTGCCATTTTCTGACATATATGAATATGATTATCTAGATACACATAATAATATCATATTTTTAAACAATTACTTTAAAAATTAAAATTTTATATATTGATTACATTCCTTCCTTTTTAAATTTATTACAATTAAGACTTTAACCAAAAAATAGAATGATGTTAAGAGTGTTCTTTATTTTTATTTTCTCTTTAGCTTTCACCTTTTCTGGTGGTAAGCTCCTTCAATATCTCTCTCCACTTTATGTTATATTATATATACACTATCTATCTAATTTATATTTCTTCATATTGGCTCTAACTTTATGTGCCCATTGAAGTTTTGGCCTTCCTCTTTAACATTTGCCCATCACTTCCAAACTCTCAACCTTATTTCCTATGTAGTTCATAGGCCTTCTCATTGTGTGCCCATACCACCTAAGTCTGTTTACCATAACTTAGTCTTAATCGGCACTACCTTTAAACTTCCTAGTATTCTTGTACTGCGCACTTTATATTTTCTGCTACCCCAGCAATCATCCCCAGCATTCTTATCTTCATAGTTTGTAGACTTCTCTCGATATATCGCTTTACAACTTTTATGGCGTAGGACTGCCGAGTTTCTTTCAGCTCAGCTAGATATACCTTATCATTGTGCCTCTTCCTATTGTTGAATTCAAATCTAAGTCGTAGATGTCAAATGGTCTAATTATAGCCTTTTATTGGGTTAATAAATACATTTCGATAAAAATATAATTTCAAACTAAAAGTATTATCTAATAAATTTAATTAGTGAATAAAACACTATTAAATTTTTGCTAAGAAGCTATTTAGATCATTTATTGTTAAAATCATTTATGCCCTATAAATAAATAAAGTCACATAAATATTACCTAATTAAAATAATTGTCCGCTGCTATTATATTATTTCTTAAAATATAATATAATTTTCATTATTATGATCATACGTATTTACCTTTGTTACACAACTTTCAACTTCTTCAGTATAGGATCTATTGTTAACAAAGTGGCTTTGGCAATCCGAGATAATGTAATAGTGATTATGAAAGTTCTTCTAATAAAATAAATTTTAATAAGGTAGAAGGATAACTATAAAATTACCATTATTGTTGAGTAAAATATAATCTAATGAAGAAATATCAAGATAAAGTTTTATTTTAACATTCTTCATAAATAATATTTCAATTTAATTATATATAAATTATAATTAAATTTTATATTTAATCAAAGAATTTTAAAAAAAAATACGAAACGTTCTGAAAACACAAATTCGAAAATTCTCAGAATAAATATTTAAATGCTTAGATGCTACAGAATTATTTCTTAAAGCACACATAAAAGATGAATTGCCCAAATAAATTAATGATTACTCCTCATATAAATGGAAGTGTTCATAAATAAAATATAACTGAGAACTAATCACTTAATTGCTATTAAAAAAATTTTCTTATAAAATTTGTATATTATATGATTATAAATTTCCCAAAAGATTCCTTCCTAAGCGCATTCATTTTAGAAAAATTATTATATTAATGCTGAAAATTTGGTTTCTGGAAATTGTCAAATTATAAATATATTTTTATTTATAGATCTGGCAACGATCTAAATTTGGGAATTGCTTAATTTGTCAAATCTTTATATTTAAAAAAAAACAATTTAACTTTCTTTTTTTTAGTATCGTTAACGCAAAATGTAACTCGTTACTTTAATAATCTAAGTCGAGTTTTTAATTCAGCATAAACGACCAAATTCCTTCATTTTTATTTAAAATTTTTGTTGTTAAATTTTCAGTCAGGATTGTTAATCTAATTAATATTGAATCAATCAATGTATGTAAATTCATATCTTAATTATATTAAAATTTATTTTATAAAGAATATTATGTAAATTGTACGTTTACTTCAGATGAAGATGAGTAAACGCTGCTTTGGTTCCAATATGAAACATTTCTTACACCAATAAAAGAAACTTAGGGTACAAAATTTACATTTTGTAAGTATAAATTGTGTCCCAACTCAA